CGGCTTCCCTTACAACTGCCAAACTGCTCTTGCAACATGCATGGCGACACTGCTGGCAGCTTGTGGAAGCGGGTGGAACACTGTTGGAGAATGGATGCATAATAATGTATGGAAGGGATGGTACTAGTGGAAAGTGGATGGAAGATGAATGGGCAATTGTGGATGATTGATGGCAACAAAAAAACAAAGTACACTACAGGAGGGGGCTCAAGTAACAGGAAAGGCAAGGACGTGCAGGGACTGGAAGTGCAGGAGCGGGCCTGACGGGCTGGCCCCCGCCCTCCTTCCACTTCTTTTTCGACTTGGAAGCACCCTGCGGGCAACTTTCCGGTAGATGACGAGTAGCGACTGAAGGGCAGTGAAACAGAGGACAGACTTCAAATGCAGGAAAATGAAGTGACAGGTCGGGAAACCTCCAACGGAAGCAACTGCGGCCTTTTCGGCTCTGACACCATGCGCACTCCCTGGCTGGCGCGACCATCGCCTTTTCTCCACGGCTGAAGCGGTATATGACTGAGAAGCGCCCTGTGGGCAACTTGCCGCCTCCTCCCGTTCGAGCGCGTTTGCAGTCGCGACTCCTGCTTCTTCTCCATGGTTGCAGAGGCACATGACTGAGAAGCGCCCTGGGGGCAACTTCCGCCCTGTTTCCGTTCTAGCGCGTGCATGCTGCTTCAACCTGCGCATGTGGGTTTAGCGTGTTGGCGCGCTTCTGCGGTTTTAGCTGTCGAGCAGTTTGCACAAGGCTTCGCGCTGGGGTGCTTACAGGGGGGAGGAATGCGACTACACGGCGCTCAAGAAAGTGCAGGGAGCTCAAACGCACAGGAAGCAAAAGGAAATGCCAAAGTTGCAAAAAAAACGCGCAAAGGAAGTGATGTTCAAATCTCGGCATCTCATCCGAATCAAAGGACAGGGAAGTGACAGAACAGGCAGGGCAGGGTGCCCGGTGGCCGGCTGTGTCGCGTCAGCGTGTAAATCCGGCCACCGGACGTGATCGGGCCGCAGGCCACAGCCCGTTAGGGCTTACCTTCAGGTATAAGGCCGCGCGCCCCGTGCCGCCGACCATGCGCGGACCATGAAGGTAGGTTTTGCGCTGGGCCCGCCCTTATAAGGGGCGAAGGATTTGCGGATTGGTTTCGGCGATTTTTGTAGCATCTCCCCGCAGCGCTTAAAAACGAGCATTTTTAGGGGGTGCCTAATACTGGACAACACCCCCAGCATTGCCAGCATCATCCCGGATGATGCGGATGATGTTATACATGCTGGCGATGCGGGTGATGCTGGGGATGTTGTCCCCTAAGTCGGGCCAATTTTGCCGAAAACGTGCAACCTAAAAATCTTAAAATCTAAAGCGGATGGAAATGGATGGAAAATGGCCTGGATTGAAATCTTAAAATCTTAAATTAAAATCTAACACTCAATCTTAGAATCTCAAGATCTTAAAATCTTAGAACTTAGAATCTTAAAATCTGAAAATATAAAAACTTCCTAAAGTCTTCGAATCTTGAAATCTTAAAAACCTTATGTCTTAGAATCTTGAGATCTTAAACTCTTAAAATATGAAATCTTAGAACTTTAATTCTTAAACCATTGAAACCTTAAATTCCGAAAGTCTTCAAATCTGAGACCCTTAGAATCTCAAAGTTTTTAGAATTTCAACATCTGAACATCTACTCATCGGACTTACAGGAAAGGGACGTGACAGAAACCCTCATGTCTTTGAATCTTCAGATGTTAAAATCATAAAAAATGAAATTCCTAAATTCTCAAAATCCTAAAATCTCAGAATCTTAAAAGCTTCAAAAACTTAAATTCTTTACATCTCGAACTATTGCAGTCTGAAAATCTTAAATTCATAAACAAGCAAAATATAATAAAATTCCTTCAATACGGGCTATATTATTCTAAATTCCTTAAACTCTTAGTCTTCAAATTTTGAAGTCTTGACATCTTAAGATCTTAAAATCTTAAATTCCGAAAGTTGCCGAATCTGAAAATCTCACAAAAAATAAAATCTTCAAGCCTTCGAAATCTGATAATGGATGGTAAATGGCTGGGCAATGGCCTGGCTGTTATAACCTTCAAAAGCCTTAAATCTTCGAATCTTAAAACCTTAATTCTTCAACCATTGAAACCTTAAATTCCGAAAGTCTTCAAATCTGAGACCCTTAGAATCTCAAAGTTTTTCGAATTTTGAAATCTTAACATCTACTCATCGGACTTACAGGAAAGGGACGTGACGGAACGGGCAGGGCAAGGTGCCCGGTGGCCGGCTGTGTCGCGTCAGCGTGTAAATCCGGCCACCGGACGTGATCGGGCCGCAGGCCAAAGCCCGTTAGGGCTTACCTTCAGGTATAAGGCCGCGCGCCCCATGCCGCCGACCATGCGCGGACCATGACCAGAACATGCGCATACGTTTTATGCTGGGCCCTCCCTTATAAGGGGCAAAGGATTTGCGGATTGGTTTAAGCGATTTTTGTAGCATCTTCCGCAGCATCCAAAAACGAGTCCAAAAACGAGTATTTTTGGGGGGTGCATAATACTGGACAACACCCCCAGCATTGCCAGCATCATCCCTGATGATGCGGATGATGCTATGCATGCTGGCGATGCGAAACAAGGGGTGAAAGGAAACAGGAGTGACTGGAAGTGAACGAAATGCAAGTCAAAGGCATTGCACGAAAATGAAGAGGGCGCTGGAGAGAAACCAAGCTGCAGGAAAATGCAAGGACGAAAAGGGAAAGGAATGCGAATGAAGGAGTCTTCAAGGAAAGCTAAAGCGGCAGTGAAGTGGAAGGAAGTGAAGGGACATGCCCGGAAACTTAGAGGGAAAGGAGATGAAAGAACGGGAAGGGGTGCCCGGTGGCCGGCTGTGTCGCGTCAGCGTGTAAATCCGGCCACCGGACGTGATCGGGCCGCAGGCCAAAGCCCGTTAGGGCTTACCTTCAGGCATAAGGCCGCGCGCCCCATGCCGCCGACCATGCGCAGAACATGCGCAGAACATGCGCAGAACATGCGCAGAACATGCGCATACGTTTTATGCTGGGCCCTCCCTTATAAGGGGCGAAGGATTTGCGGATTGGTTTAGGCGATTTCCGAGGATTTTTGTAGCATCTCCCCGCAGCGCCCAAAACCGAGTCCAAAAACGAGCATTTTTAGGGGGTGCCTAATACTGGACAACACCCCCAGCATTGCCAGCATCATCCCGGATGATGCGGATGATGTTATGCATGCTGGCGATGCGGGTGATGCTGGGGATGTTGTCCCCTAAGTCGGGCCAATTTTGCCGAAAACGTGCAACCTGAAAATCTTAAAATCTAAAGTGGATGGAAAATGGATGGAACATGGCCTGGATTGAAATCTCAAAATCCTAAAGTCTTAGATTCTGAAAATCTTAAATTAAAATCTAACAATCAATCTTAGAATCTCAAGATCTTAAAATCTTAGAACTTAGAATCTTAAAATCTGAAAATATAAAAAAATCCTAAAGTCTTCGAATCTTGAAACCTTAAAAACCTTATGTCTTAGAATCTTGAGATCTTGAACTCTTAAAATATGAAATTCCTAAAGTCTTACAATCTTAAAATCTCAGAATCTTAAAAAGCTTTAACAACTTAAATTCTTTAAGCCTCGAACAATTGAAATCTGAAAATCTTAAATTATTAAAATATTACCTTCCTTCAATCCGGGCTATATTTTAACTTCCTTAAACTCTTAATCTTGAATTATTGAAATCTTGAAACCTTGAGATCTTAAAATTACAACCTTAGAAGATAGAATCTTGCAACCTGAAAATATAAACATCCTCAAGTCTTCGAATCTTGACTTCTTAAAACCCTCATGTCGTTGAATCTTGAGATGTTAAAATCTTAAAATATGAAATTCCGAAATTCTCAAACTCTTAAAATCTCAGAATCTTAAAAGCTTCCAAAACTTAAATTCTTTAAATCTCGAACTATTGCAATCTGAAAATCTTAAATTCATAAACAAGTAAAATATAATAAAACTCCTTCAATCCGGGCTATATTCTAAATTCCTTAAACTCTTAATCTTGAAATTTTGCAGTCTTGACATCTTGACATCTTAAGATCTTAAAATCTTAAATTCCGAAAGTCGCCAAATCTGAAAATCTCGCCAAAAATAAAATCTTAAAGCCTTCGAAATCTGATAATGGATGGAAAATGGCTGGGCAATGGCCTGGCTGTTATAACCTCAAACACCTTAAGTCTTTGAATCTTAAAACCTTAATTCTTAAACCATTGAAGCCTTAAATTCCAAAAGTCTTCAAATCTGAGACCCTTAGAATCTCAAAGTGTTTAGAATTGTTTAATCTTAACATCTACTCATCCGACTTACCGGAAAGGGAAGTGACAGAACGGGCAGGGCAAGGTGCCCGGTGGCCGGCTGTGTCGCGTCAGCGTGTAAATTACGACCCAGGGGTCCTTAAGACCCAAACTTGGGCCAGGTCCTCATGAAACAGATCCCCAGCTGCAGGCGGACAAATATGCTCGTGCGGGAATCCTTCTATGGGGTTATAGGTAAAGCGCTGTTCTTGCGAACAGGCATTGTGGGAAGCCGCTAGAAGAAGCCAAAGCTTAGTGGCACAGTGAGCTTTCGTGAAAAGGAAGCAATGAAGGTCTGGCCCTCACTCAACCAAGCACCGCCTCCACTCTTTCACGTGAAAAAATGTGCCAAGTGCATGCAAAAGCCCGTGTCCAAATGGCTGAAGCCTGCAGTTGTCCTTTTGAAATGACCCAAGATTTGTGTAAAGGTCTTTCCTACTTTCCAAATTGCAAGCCCACCTGCGGTAGAAGGAGTTCAAGCATGAAGAATATGTTCCATCGCGCACGTCAGAGTTGCGACCACCGGTTACACCTTTAAACCATCGTTTAAACATCCTTTAGGCCTTCCCTTCAAAACTAGAGAAACTCTCCCCTCATCACCCCTAGAAAAGCGCTCCATGACCCGCGTAGTCCCACCTTCACTACGGAAGTCTTCAGGTCCTCTGCACTGGCTGCAAGCCCAGAGATCCCCAGAGCGCTCGGTGCTGCAGAGCACTCACCAGGAACCCGCAGAAGAAGCAGAGGCCCATGCCTACGGACTGAGCCTATTCGCTAGTTTGCTCCTTTAAACAGGAAATCCCCGGTGGGGAAAACGGGACAAAAGAAAAAGCTCAAACGTTGGGGTGCACAACTTTGACACGGACTCCCGGTTGTGAGAGAAAAAACAAAGTGATACCAAAGTAGGGCATCCCCATGACTACTGGATGACTTCAAAGGGAGTTGCCTTCGCATCACAAAAGCTGGCTCCCTATTTTTCATAACTCTGGGTTCATTGCACTCCCCAAAGGTGCAGATTTATGGGCTGCTGATTCATCCGCTCCATCTTCAAAGGCAAAGAAAAGTCTGGTCGATGAGTTCCCAGCCAACGCCCAGTCCAGCACCGCATGGGTGTGTGGGCGGATGGGTGCTTTTTGAGGAAACAAAGGTTGACTCCGTCCACTCCATAGAAGCATTCGGCTTTTCCGGCCCGAGCACCCAGCGCCTCGGACAAGCAGGTCTCTTGTCAGCCACCAGCTGTTTTGCAGATCGGAGGCTGAGCGTCTGCCACCTGCACGGAGTTTGACGTTGAACGAACACCGACACCCCCCTCCCAACCCGTGGGGGTCGCTGTCGCTCAGGTGCAGTGAGGACCTCTGATTGAACGACTCCGGAGCACGCTGTTGCAATCCCTGCCGGAAGCCTCTCTACAACTACCAGAGCTTTTGGGCAAAGCGAAAATTGACCCCAACATAGGTAGGGCTCAAAGGGTATGACGCCCCTGTGATTTTCTCAAGGGAATTGGTCCAAAGGCGCCCGCACCTTGCGGAGATTCCTTCTTTCCAGGCTGACCCATCGGCCAAATTGCGCTAATTCATCCGTGGGTGCACGTCCAAACCAGCAACCCGTCTTGCGAAGGGTCTTGCAAAGTGGTGTTCACTGGGGGCTGGAACCACTTGTGGGGGGGCCATCCCCGGAACCACTTGTGGGGGCCCCCCAGCCCAGGGAATTCTCGGCTCCCAATGCGCTGACCTCTGAGAAGCGCCAAGGGTGTGACACTCGCCGCAAGGATGCCGGCCATGATAGGAGCTGCCTGGGCTTGGAAAGTCCCCACCCATTGGGGGGAGAACCTGTTGCTGAAACTGAGGGGAGAAGCCTGACTCCTATGAGGTTCACGAGATGGGGATGAAATTTGTCGCACCACTTCGAGGTCATTTCGCTGCTTCTCAGCCTTTTCGCCTTGAGAGGGCACACGCGGACACTACACTTGTGGCTGCTGTACCCTAGCCGATTGCTGCTGTGGACATGCGCTCATGGACTGGGGCGGCTGTCACTGCAGTTAAGCTTCTGAGCTGCGTTAAGGGACTTCTGAACCGGATTTGATTAACTTGGGGCTGAAACTTAAAAGTTTCGCAAAGTCCCTGTATCTCACTGAGGATTTGCAAGCCACTCAGGTCGCTAGTACGCAGCAAGTACAAGCACTCTGAAGCTTGAGTGGCCGTGTGCTCTGGCAACCAAGCTGCAAATGTCCAAAGCATCGGGATCGGAACGCGTCTCTTTCTCTTTTGCCAGGTCACGTCCAGCCACTCGCTCATGGAGAAGGCTGCAGCCTGACGCCAGCTCAGCGGCAGCCTGGCCTCGCCAGATCCAACAAACCCGTCTGGACGGGTCTGCCCAAGACCTCTTCACTGTCATCTGTTCCGTGCTTTTCTCAGTTGCCACACTGTGGACAGAGAAAATCCTGCACCAGTTGGTAAGTGGTTCATAGTATCCATAGCCATCCGGCTACATTGGCAAAAGTGAAGACCTCTCCCCAATGCTAGTCGCCTTTTAGAACATCGCCCCCAAGTGAAGTTTTCGCTAGGCGTGCTTCTGGAAAGCGAATAGATTTTGCTGGAGGATTCACAAATGGAACCCGCCTAGTGTCCACCAAGCTGACCTGCGGATGACCCCAAGCAAAGGGGGCTCCCCCTTTCTTCTCCTTTGAAACAACCCCAAAAAGCGCACCCTTAAAAAAAAAACTGTTGTTTGGTACCGGATCAATTTTCCCAGTCGGGGCCGGGAAGCCTTCGCCAAGGAGGCCGCCAGCAGCTTCAACAGCCCGGGCACCTGGCTTCACGTGCAACAAGTTTTCGGGGGGGCCTGCCAGGAAAGTGGCCTCCACATGGAACATGGAGACACCCAGGCTGGAATGAAGCTGAATGAGTGATGTCCGGCCGCATTTTGTCGAGCAGCAGGCTCTCTTGCCCATTCCCACATACTCGGCTTGTGCGCCCCCTGTGCCCAATGCATGACATCTCAACACCCATCATTCACTCATGGGCTCATGGAACCATCCCACCCAAGATATTCTCTCACCCGGTCTCGCCCTTGCCTCAGACTTCCAAAAGCTGACCTCAGACTGTTTCTCAAAGCAAATCCCAAGGATCCCATCCGAATTCCCTCCAACTGCAGTTTGTTCGAGACCGCTCTGCAAGCAACATCCGCCTATTGCTACAATGATGCGTGGCCCTGGTGGTTTGGAGGTTGAGGGTGTTTCCTTTGCAAGAACCCGGGTTCGAAACCCAACATCAATCCCATCCACCAATTTTCATGACCTAATGCACCAGCCACTCCTCGAGTCCTCAAACCCGCATGGCGGAGCTGCACACCAGATCAGCATGAAGTTCCAGCCACGCTTTTGTCCAAAGCTCGCTTTCAGCTGTCCACTTGATCAGCATCCGTTGAATGCTGCTGGCTTGGGAGGCACTGAGTCTAGGGATGAACCAAAAATAGATACTGCTACACAAATAAGGATGTGGGCGTGAGTCGTGGTGTTTTTGGGCCGGGATATTGAAGCACCAGGGGACCGAGAAGCGCTCATAGCTCCGGGGGCCCGCGCATAACTCACCCAAACATCTTCCCAGGCCAAGCTGCTTCGCCTGGCGGAAAATTCAAGGCACTGGGCGAACGGGACAGCAAACAACTGACCCTTGCCGGGCCCCTCTGCAAAATTGTTAGCGAGTGGGACACACAGGGAATGACAGCATGCCTCTCCACCATGAAATGTTCAAGAGACATGCCCAAAGGACGCCAAGCGCTCAACATGATGACTGAAGACTGGCGAAAACGTTTGTTGAAGCCAAAAAAATAACATTTCTACAAACAGTCGAAGTTAGATATCCTGTCGAATGAAGAACGGACTAATAAGACACTCACGCACGATCGACTGTGAATCCCTCCCTCCAAAGCTCCTTTCCAGCTCGACTTGTGTGTTGCTTCAAATCCGCGACAAGGGAAGCCACAGCGACCTAATGGTCACCAATGGGCCAATGATCATAATTGTCCCTTGATTTCCCAACAGTACACCAGGGCGAAAGTAGATGGCAACATGTCCTTTCTTTGGGTGAGTGCGATGGGTGAATTAAGACTCAGGGATGCCTAAAGGAGACTTATGATGGATATTCCAGTTGATTAGCAAAGGTGTGTACTAATTTGGAGACAATATGTCACTTGTGGGAGGAACACCCCGTAATTTTCCACCCAGTGATCCGGAGTCAACATTGTCTAAACTGCTGAATGCCGACAACAATGACAAGCCAAAAGGGGAACCGCTAATAACTATAACTGATTGCGCCCCTTACCAAATCTGCGGAGCGGATGGATTGTGAGAAACCTATTACCCCGGTCATTTTGCTCAATACCGACAAACGATGACAAGTAATGCAACACAGGCAGTGTTCAGTCCGTGAACAAAAGAGCTGTGAGAATTCACTGCAACGCTCAACAAACTGTCTTTTTTCTTTCTGTTTTTGTTTTATTATTTCTTTTTTTCTTTCTTTCTTTTCTGTCTTTCGTTTTTTCTTACTTGCTTTCTTTGTTTTCTTTCTTTCCTTCTTTCTTTCTTTCTTTCCCATCCGCCAAGGAGCCACAATAAGTGGAGCGCGTCCAGCTGCGACATGGCTCAGCAAAATCGCCGCCAAGAACCAAAGAATAGTTTTGCCCCAAACCAGCAGCTGCCTCATTTTCATTTTGGACGGGGCATAATGATGATCATTGGTTCAAGGAGTGACTGCGTCCAAATCCAATTGCGCAAGCTGACTTGTAATGACACTGCGTGTTGGCACTAAAGTCAGCCGAGTCAACCCGGAGAACTGCGAGCTGCGTGTGTTGACCACACATGTGGCACAGCCAGTGTCAAAACGTTATTCTTCCATGAACGAACTGAACTCCTTGATCCAAATGCATGCATGACTATTCAAGTACGCGCCACAAAGTTGCGAACACAGTTCATGCCATACAACCGTGTCTTCAATACTTCCTGACGTCTTCCCAAAAAGGGAGTAACTTACAAAACCATTTCGTTAAGCCCCCAACACTGTTCCAAGCCTGGTCGACCCTTTTGGGTCCTTAGGTTTGTTTGTGAACCCGCCCTTTCTGCGCTTCTTTTTCAGTCTGGCTCCTCCGCAGCCAGGGTGTGATTGACTTCACCAAACCGGGGTTGAAACCAAACTAGTCAAAGGTCACTTGCTCTATTCGCGTCTCTTCCGCAAAATGCCGTGCGTGGGGTCAAACTGGGACCTTGACATCATTGCCCCTTTGCAAGCAAGGGAGAATCAATTCTTCTGCAAAAAATCTTCGGTTTTGACCTGACTAGAGGGGCATCAACAGAGGGTATTCCAAGGTCCCAGCTCACAACCTCGGGCGGAATGTTCAGCTGCAGTCAGTGCCATAACCATAAATTGGTGCGGCAAGAAGCCTGGGGTAGACCCTTTCAATGCCAGGTGTTCTTTCTGACTCACTTGAAATTAGACCAGTGGTGGGAGGAATATCAGTACTGTAAGGGAACCGTCAGCATGGCCTGGAAGGAAGGACAAAAGTCTAGCCCGTTTTCTGCTGACGCGACCGATGATGCGAACCGAGTTTCAGTGCAAACGCAGCAAGGCTCTCTGTACTCCCTAAGACACCGTCTGGCCTAGGCCCCAGGGGCTGGCGGAGGCGGCTCCTGAAGCATGGTTAAAGGATGTGAACGTGCCCATACTGATGATCAAGGAGACATTGCAAACAACAACTGATCTCGCAGTTTGATCGGAGCCGAGATTTAATTCACGTGTTTGTTTGGTTTGTCTTCACTCCCGGTGCGAAAACGCTGAGTTCACAGCATTGTCCAACAAAATGCACTCGGTTTGCACCAGCGCTGTCAACATGCCCGGCATCGTTTTCAACACCCTCGGCATCACCAGTTTGCTTTTGTTTAGGCCGAGTTTAGTGTTGGTGTTTGTGGGGTTTAGGGTTGGTATAGGGTTTGCTTGTGGTTTGTTTAGGGTGAGTTTAGGGCTGGTTTAGGGTGGGTTTAGAGTTTGTTAAGACTGCGGTTGGGTGTAGGTGGGCTTAGGTGGTTGGTATGTGTTTGTTGCTCAGGGTTTGTTTAGGGTTGGTTTAGGATGGGCGTGGAGCTGGTTTAGGGTGGATTTAGAATTGGCTTAGAGTTGCGTGGGTTTAGGGTGGGTTTAGGATTGCTTAGGGTGGTTTAGGGCAGTTGTTGAGTTGGCTTAGGGATTGTTTAGGGCGGCTATAGGTTTGGTTTAAGGTTGGTTTAGTTTTAGTGGTGGTCCGAAAGGTGGGTTGAGGGTGGGTTTTGGATTCTTTTGGGTTCATTCAGGGTTGGGTTGGGATTTTGGTTTTGTCTTTTGAGGTCAGCGCAAAGCCGAAAAAACGGCCCCACAAAGAAGAAGAGGGGTTGGGGAGGCGCAGCCCAACCCCCGCCCCTGCAAAAAAAAACAACAAAAGCGAGAAAAACACAAACAAAGATGGTCTCACCCCCTTGTGAGCCTCTGGTGGAGGTCCAGGAGCCGCCTGGCAGGAACAAGCAACGACGGATCCGGGGTCAACGGGGAACGGGTCCTGGAACACGGCCGGCATTCTTTCGGGTTCGTTCAGGGTTGGGTTGGGATTTGGTGTCGTCCTGTAAGGTCAGCGCAAAGCCGAAAAACGGCCCCACAAAGAAGAAGAGGGGTTGGGGAGGCGCAGCCCAACCCCCACCCCTGAGAATACAAATAAGGATGCTAGTGGAGAAAGCCTGTGGAGACACACAAGGTAACGCAGGGGGGGGTGATGCTGGGGTGTTACTGCGAGAAAAACACAAACAAAGATGGTCTCACCCCCTTGTGAGCCTCTGGTGGAGGTCCAGGAGCCGCCTGGCAGGAACAAGCAACGATGGATCCGGGGTCGACGGGGAACGGGTCCTGGAACACGGCCGGCATTCTTTCGGGTTCGTTCAGGGTTGGGTTGGGATTTGGTGTCGTCCTGTAAGGTCAGCGCAAAGCCGAAAAACGGCCCCACAAAGAAGAAGAGGGGTTGGGGAGGCGCAGCCCAACCCCCACCCCTGAGAATACAAATAAGGATGCTAGTGGAGAAAGCCTGTGGAGACACACAAGCTGATGTAGGGGGGGGTGATGCTGGGGGTGTTACTGCAAAAAGCAACAAAAGCGAGAAAAACACAAACAAAGATGGTCTCACCCCCTTGTGAGCCTCTGGTGGAGGTCCAGGAGCCGCCTGGCAGGAACAAGCAACGATGGATCCGGGGTCGACGGGGAACGGGTCCTGGAACACGGCCGGCATTCTTTAGGGTTCGTTCAGGGTTGGGTTGGGATTGAATGTCGTCCTGTAAGGTCAGCGCAAAGCCGAAAAACGAAGAGGGGTTGGGGAGGCGCAGCCCAACCCCCACCCCTGAGAATACAAATAAGGACGCTAGTGGAGAAAGCCTGTCAAAACAAACAAGGTGATGTTGGGGGGGGGTGTTACTGCAAAAAGCAACAAAAGCGCGAAAAACACAAACAAAGATGGTCTCACCCCCTTGTGAGCCTCTGGTGGAGGTCCAGGAGCCGCCTGGCAGGAACAAGCAACGATTGACGGGGAATGGGTCCTGGAACACGGCCGGCATTCTTCGGGTTCGTTCAGGGTTGGGTTGGGATTTGGTGTCGTCCTGTAAGGTCAGCGCAAAGCCGAAAAACGAAGAGGGGTTGGGGAGGCGCAGCCCAACCCCCACCCCTGAGAATACAAATAAGGACGCTAGTGGAGAAAGCCTGTCAAAACAAACAAGGTGATGTTGGGGGGGGTGTTACTGCAAAAAGCAACAAAAGCGCGAAAAACACAAACAAAGATGGTCTCACCCCCTTGTGAGCCTCTGGTGGAGGTCCAGGAGCCGCCTGGCAGGAACAAGCAACGATCGACGGGGAATGGGTCCTGGAACACGGCCGGCATTCTTCGGGTTCGTTCAGGGTTGGGTTGGGATTTAATGTCGTCCTGTAGGGGGGGGTGATGCTGGGACACAAACAACTGACAAAATGGAACAAGCAACGATGGATCTGGGGTCGACTTGACGGGGAACGGGTCCTGGAACACGGGTTGCTTCTGTCTGGTTTCTCTAAAGCCTGTTTCTGGGGCCTGCGGGCTATCAAAGTCAGAAAATGGGTTGTTTCCCTTTCACCTACCACTTTGGGGGGCGGCTTTGATCATGGAAAGTTAACGGGGCCAGTTTCCGTTTGGATTTCTGCGTGGAACCTGCAACAAAAAGCGCGGGGGGTGGGGGGGGTGAGTCCCGTACCGGGGGCACCTCCCTGAGAAGGAGATACCCGCTGTGGTGGCAGTCTCTGTGGCCCTGGATCTGTTCCAAGATAAGAACCTGATGTATCTGATGGATCAATTCGCTGAGCGGGAACGCGTCACGGTGTCTTTGCTGCGTTCCATTGATGTGTGTTCTCAATGTCTCCGGGTCGTCCGGGTTCAGGAATACCACTGGCGGCTCTGCAGTCGCAGCGGATGGCTGCGGCTGTGCTGTTCTCTGATGAGCATCTTGCACTGATTGGATATAATCTGGCGATTGCGCCGTGATGACAGGCACCAGATCACTCCATGATGATTTCAGTCTTCGTAGCAAGATCTCGAACTTGGAAATGAAGATGAGGAACTCTGAGTTGCGGCGTCGATGATTGAATAAACTGAGGAGCCTGTAAAGATACACGGTTGTCATTCCTTTCAAGAAATACTTCGTCAGCGTGTTCTTGAAGTAGTTGACCCTTTCGGCTGGATCTCGAAGCAAGGTGTCGTCAAGGAGCTCTCGATACGTGAGCGCGTCTCCTGTGAGTCTGCTCTTGAGGAGGGGTCCCAACGTTCTGCTTCCACTGTTGTGAATGAGATCCAATCATCAACGAGTTCCTCATAGCTAAACCAGCTGACTTTTCCGTCATACAATGGCGGCTGCTTGGCGTTCATCGATAAGTTCAGTGTCTCTTCTGCCCATAGGTCGGCCTGCGCTGGTGAAGGCCTCCGCGAAGCCTTCTCCATCTAATGACATCGTATCTGGTTCTTGTCTGCAATTCAGTCCCGCACCGGGGCACCTAATCCCTGAGGAGGAGTACCCACTGTGTTAGCAGTCTCTGTGGCCCTGGATCTGTTTCAAGATAAGAACCTGATGCGCCTGATGGGTCAATTGTACTGGAAGTTTCTGGTGGATGAAATATGTGTTTTGTCACTGTAGAGCAAGGCCGCAAGGTCTTTTATCAGCGTGAGGCTAATGCTATTGCTTACAGAATTGGAAGGGCCTTGAGCCAACAATGTAACGGTTGTGAAACATGATTGCCACAAGGTCAACAGTGTCAAAAACACAACGCCAAACAAACACACATTTATTTTGACCTTTGGCGTCGCACTACTGTCTCAAGGACAGCTTTGCTGACTGTAAAAGATGGCCAAACCAAGAGTCGGACCCACCTCCCTAAATGATGTGCACCAAAAGGCCCCTTATTGAACAATATGTTCCCCCGAAAGCATAGCGAAGGGTTCTTCCGGTAAAATCGCCAGCCTTATCACACAGCCAAACTTACACGAGCCAACTTGCGCGAGCCAACTTGCACACTCGCGCTCACTCACACTCACTCCACACTCACTCTTACTCACTCTCACTCACTCTCAGTCTCTCTCACTCTCACTTTCACTCTCACTC